CCCCCCCCCCCCCCCCCCCCCCCCCCCCCCCCCCCCCCCCCCCCCCCCCCCCCCCCCCCCCCCCCCCCCCCCCCCCCCCCCCCCCCCCCCCCCCCCCCCCCCCCCCCCCCCCCCCCCCCCCCCCGCGCATCCCCCGAATAATTGGAATTTTTTTGTTTTTTCGAGTGATACATGATTATAATTCGCATTTTTTTTTATCAATTTCACACTACCTCAGAGAGAAATTTTGGTTTACACCCCCCTAATGTTCGGCTCCTATTTGCGGCCCTGTTTGCAGGTCTACTACCTAAATGCTCTTCTTATTTCTTGAAAACCATTATCAATGATCCACAAAAACAAAACGAAAAAAATCCATCGTATACGTGAAAAAATATGATATAGATAGTAGATTTTTACCACAAGTATAGATGATAGGATGCGGCATACCGAGCGTGTGTTCTGCTGCTGTATAACTAATTTTAAAGTACTAAAAGAAGAAGAAAAAAAAGAATACATAGTACAGAACTATCGCTAAAAAAAAAGAATCCCAAGTAATGACGTTGTGCTCGCTTTTTTCTCTTTCTTTTTTTTGCACATACTATGTGAAGATATTATATTAAAAAAAAAGAGAAAAAAAAGTATATACTTTCTGTGAATATCTCTATACTTGAGTTATTATTATCGTATACTACATTCTGACCACAAAAAAAAATGTTTACAACACGGTCCATTTCGACGCATAATTTTCTTCTCTCTTTTTTCTTTTTTTTTACAACAGCAAACACATACATACACATTTTAAGTATTACGCTTAACCACATCTTACTTACACGTATACCTCTGTAGTGAGTACTTTTCTCTTCTTTGTCTTCTGGTACCTTTTTTCTTCTCCCTCTCGAATCGTTCCTCTCTCTACTCTAAACATCCATTATGTAAATATACGCGATTGCACACATTGAGTAGGGCAGCGCGACGATGAGATTTTGTAGTATGATGTGTAGTATATGGTGTAAGTATTGTTTACAAAAGAGGAGGGAAAATATATATTATAACAGAACAACTTTTTTTTTGATTTTTCAATTTTCTTTTTTATAACGATAATTGAACATACGTGTGAAGGACAAAAAATTTTTTTTTTTCCTTTATCACCAAGTACAAATATACATATACATAGATATGAAACAAAAATAAGTAGCGTTCATTGTCCAACAAAATAGTCTATGATGATAAATCATTATCACATACAGATATCTATTCGCCGACGATGTTGAATGAGTAGTATGGAAGAGATTTTATGTCTTTCTACCATTATTATTATTAATATAAGAAAATAAATTTAAAATTTTCATATTACAATCGATGAATAATAAGTTCTATGTGATTAATCAGTAAGATAAACATAGAGAAAAAGAAAGATAATCTCTAATGATTTTCCTGAGATGATTAATAACATGATTCACAGACAAGATAGCTAATATTTCATTCTACACTATATAAAGAGTTTGTCTGTTGTTTGTGAATAATTTTTACTGAAGGTAATGATACTGTTTTATGAAAAGTGATTCTCTATCTTTTTTTTTTGTTTTTTACTTTTATTAAATTTTGGACTCAACAGATGATCAGTTTATCTATGCTAAAATAGTGAAAAGATCTATACATCCTAATTTCTGTTGTTGACGACATGATGAGATATTAGTGAATTTGATACATCTATTTTGATATATCATATCATGTATCAACTTCATGATCTTTACTTTCTAGTATGTAGTTTAGAATCGATTTTCCGATGTTAGAGTACATTTTTTACTATGCGAAAATATCACGTTTTGTAACAGATGCCGTAACAGACGATGATGAGAAGTTGTTTGTTGGCTGTTAATATTTTTTTAATATTAAATTTTCAATTTTTGTTTTTTCTTAAAGATACTCTTCACGTATGTAAACATTCTTGATGTCACATATGTGGATTAAAGATTCCTTCACCTCTAATATCAAAATCAATTTTTATCAAGTAAATCCATTATCGCTATTAATACACATAATAATCAGGAGAACAAAAAAAATCTTTAATCTTTTGTTACATAACTCACTATCATAAGAAAAATCTATCACTTTTTATATCAATTCTTCTTTTTTTTTATCTCATTGTGTGTGTGTGTGTATGCGTGCACCATATGGGTGAAATTCCTCAATGTGCGAAAATCATTGGTATTATGAGCGCATATATATATCTTTTTATTATCCGTGTAATACATGTTTTTGTACTATGTGCTTTCACTTGATATTAGTTCCGGGCACAACTGACCTCCATTGACTACTTGATATAATTGTTCTTTTTTTATATGGTCGATTAATCTTCTCCTCTCTCACTCTCTGTCAAAATTTCTTATACAGACAATGAATCATTGCCAACTACTACAATATATAATAGATAATGCATTTTATTGATTTTATTCCTTGAAATACCATCGGCATACATTCATAAATGATCAAATAAAATTATTTTTTTGCTTTTGGTTTTTAGATAAGTTAATTTTTCGAGATTAAACAACACTAAGAACATTGTTTTGGGGATTAAAACATCTTCCGCATGTATGAAAAATAACGTGTAAAACGGTAGCAACGATCTGGTTTCGTATTACAAATAGAGTGGTAAGTTTTAAAAAAAACATATACACACACACACATACACACAAATGTTTTTGTCTGTTTCAAGCATGATTGATTGATGGATCGATTGATTGAGATGTTATTTTGTGTTGTTTTTTCTATTTTAGATTAGCGTCGTAGTCAAATTGGATTTGTTTAGTCAATTTTGTTTTTTGTGTGTGTGTTGATTAAATACACAGTGTTCAAACAAAACACTCGTCATATAGTTTAATTATTTAGTTAATTCTTTTTATTCAGGTAAAGTTTGCGAAGAAATGAATAGATCGTCTTTTTACTTGAGAAACAGTTGATTTAAATTTTTATCTGTACTAGAATAAGAGCGAGAACAAATCTTATCAAATTATTTAAACCTTAGACTATCAAAATACAAAATCAGTTTTGCACAAATAGAAGTTAGAACGACGGAGTTAGTTTCTACAGTAATTGGTGATATATACATGAGAAAGCAGTCTCTTGAATATGGCATTTACAACACAAAAACTGCAGCTGGGTGGGGATCAAATAGACTTCAATACTGATATTCGTAGAGTTATATATAAAAGTGCAGATGTTTCAGATAACGGCTTATGCGAGTGAGAAGTTTCTTTTGATATCAAAAAATAGCGTAAAATTCTCTACCAACTTTGTGCTAGTGTCATTCCAACATAGGACTACAAATATAATACTCCTTTTTAATACACTTAGCCAACTTAGTTTCACACGATTTCATCTTTTCAAGGACTAATTTTGTGTGATTGCCACATATCCAACCTGTTTCATGATTAATCATTCTAGTAGTTGTACCTATATATAAATATACACATAAAGTTTAGTTTTCTAATCTGGCAATTTTCTAACCTATACATCTAGATGATAATTAGTATCTATAAAATCATAGACGCCGTATTTGACACATTTTGAATGTTTTTCTTTCTTTCTAGGCTCGTAAAAGCATTCGGCCACAATGGGCTCATCTTTATTATTTACCTTGTTGATTATTCTAACATTCACATTTATGTTAACATCGAGTTCACCATCGTTAAGTGGTGCATTACGTCATATTGTTAGGCGGCAATCAGATGAAATGCCATGTCACGTGATTGACGGTTTTACGTGTTTATGTCGTCAAACAAAAGTAACGTGTAGCACATCACAACCACTTCAACAAATAACAATAAATCCAAACGAAAAACATAAATATTCATCGGTTGAATTAGTTGTCGGTAGCGATTCAGCGACTGTTTATGGACAAACATTTACACCAATTAAAGAACTTTATTCACCAACAGCACGACATATTGATTTTAAAATAAAATTTGAAAATTTTACACATTTAAGTTTAGCTGAACCAAGTCTATTTAATAATGTTTTCCCTGATCAATCACAAGCACATAAAGCAATGGCATATGAAATCTATAATCAAGCTGTACGACCAGAAGATAATGTCAATTTATTCCGTAATTTGGATGTTGATTCATTAGAAGTCTATAGTTTATATCCATTTCGTGGTACATTTCAAGAATTATTTGATGGTTCAAATATTAAACATTTACGTATTAGTGGCGGTGATATTAAAAGTGATTTAAATAAACATTTTACCGGGAATGTTGGACGATTAGAAATAGCTAAACAAGCCGAAGCTCTTGATGCTGCAAATTTTCCGTTATATCCAGCACATGAAATGATATTGAATGCCTATTATGTAAAAAAATTTCATTCACCAAATCCACCAAATTATGATAATGTGGCAGAGTTGAGAGTCTATTCGGATGATCCAATACCAGCTGATGCATTCAAAGATTTTCCAAATATCAATACTTTATCGGTACAAGCAAAAGAAATTGATCCAAGTGCATTTAATGGTTTAAATAAATTAGAAAAAATTACTATTAAAGATGCACAACCGAATGCAGCATTATTACAAAATATACCATCAGTAAAAGAAGTTGAAATTGGTGGACTAGAAAAGTTAAATCCTGACGTACAATGTGAATTTGCACAACAATTATCACAAGGAAGACTAGCGTAAGTTTTCATCTCTTATACGGATGAGAAGCTCTTCACCTAAACAATCAATAGATTAGACATATAGTCTTCAAAAATTCAGTTTCTATGGAGTTGAACGAATATGACTGATATTTCTGTCTTACTTCTCCAAAACCAATAAGACTAATAGTTCGTACTATTTAAACTTGTTGAGACAATATTTTTCTCCAAATCAAACACTTAGCTTTAATTATCTCCTCAAATTATATGTATTGCACCAGACTAAGATATCTCTGTCTGACATTAACCTTATGCTGAAGCTTTTAACTGTAGCCAAAGTATAATTCAAATTTAAATGAAAAATATGGTTGGATTGTCTCGTTCAGCTCTTTCAGCGCACTTTAGTAGATAGATATCAAGTTATCAGGAAAACTGCGTATTACTTAACTGTTTTTTCTATTTCCAGCGTTCAAGCATCACCAAATGGTCCTGAATGTACGTGTGTTATTGCTTATTTACAATCCGCCACTAATCAGGTGCCGTGTACACCGTATGAAAATTGTGCACAATCCACATGTCAAGCTATTCGTGATAATTTTGATACGAATACAAATGCATTCAATAAACCGCCAGAAATTCGACGTGCCGATGGCACAAGTGCATTGGAACATCGTTCACCAGCAGTTTATGCACAACCATACCAGTTAAGTTCTAATGATATAAGCAAATATCAAGCAGCTGTACCGCAGGAAGTTCTTCGAGATCCATATCAAGCACCTGAACCATCCCAGAGTGAATCTCGTCCTCCTTCACATACCCATGATCAAGGACATGTTGCAGGAAATGTTGACGACACAGCAACAGTAAAAACTACTAGAAGGAGAAAAACTAAAAGCACAACGACGGCTGCAGTAGCAGGGGGTGATCAATGGCCACAACCGTCAGATCAAGGTCAACAGGGTGAAAATCCACCTGATCAGGGCGGCGTTTATCCACCCGATCAAGGCGGTGTTTATCCACCCGGTCAAGGCGGTGTTTATCCACCCGGCCAAGGCGGTGTTTATCCACCCGGTCAAGGCGGTGTTTATCCACCCGGCCAAGGCGGTGCTTATCCACCCGATCAAGGCGGTGCTTATCCACCCGATCAAGGCGATATTTATCCACCCGGAGGAGGTACAAAAGAAGCTTCTCAAACTTTGCTTATGACTAACATACTTCTCTTCCACTTTTTGCTTTAGACCAGTATGGAATAAATCCGACACCTTCAGCTAGCGTTGATGATACACCAAGTACAACAATCCCAGTTGGTGACAGCCAAGATCATCATCAGCAAGATAACCGGCAACCAGAACAACCTATTCCACCTGAACAAGATCATGGGGGTCACGTAGAAACCACTTCGATCAATGATGGGACAGTAACAGTAGCAGGAACAGTAGCAGGAACACCAACAACAAAAAAGAGAATGAATATGATACCAATTTATATCATTATTGCAGCCGTTGCCCTTGCAATACTTGCATTAGTAGTGTATTTAATTGTTCGAAGTAGCAGAGGCAAAGCAGCATATAAACCGGCACCACAAACCGACCCGACAAAAGCATAAACATTTACTATCAATGCGGAAAAATTATTGATCTAGATTTTTTTCTATTACTAATTGTTATTTTGTCATCGTCTCGTATCAAGACATTAACAAATTTTGGTGATGTTTTATTTTGACAAGTATTATTACTATTATTAATGTTGGTGTTCATATATATTGTCTTACATCTTTTTTTTAATGTTTTTAGCTTTTTTGTTTTTTTCTATTGCCAACACAATAATTATTAGAATATTTAATAGCTGTAGCCAAAAAAATCGTGTGTGTGTGTGTGCGTATTCAGATAAGTATAATTATTCAACTTTATTTTAAATTTAGGCTAATAGTTTGTTTTTACCAAATCAACAAAACACCTTTCCATGCTCAACTCATATGAGCTTTATTCTCTATCTATATATCCATTATTATTAGGTGTCACACACGTCTCGATTATTATGGAAGTTATAGTTCAATATAAACATAATTGATAATGAAAATATCAATGATCGACATTTTTCTTTGTTTTTGTTTCATTTATATTTTAATTTTTATTATTATTCTATTATCGTGATGGAATTCGTGCTCTTTCTGTTTTTCTTTTGATTATATTCTAGAGAAATTTTTTTATATGAAATTGTTTTTTTTTTGCTGTTGTCTCTCCCTCACAATTATTTTGCTTTCAACCCGTTTTGAGCATATAGAGCGCTGTACATTTTCCTTCATTACTCAACATAAACTATCGTATCTAAAAATAAAAGTGTCCGAAAGACATTTTTTAAAGGTATATCTAGTTTACAAAATTTTCCTAGAAAAAGCGATGCGCAGTGTGTTTTTAATAATAATTTTTTTCTTTGCTTTCATTGTGCTCTGCTGTTTCTTTTTTTTCTCTATAATTGTGCATCAATTTTCGTTCTAAGGACAGAGATACATCACAGGAGCGAGTGTGCACAACAAAAATGAATGCGTTTTTTTTTGTTTTTCTTCTGAAGTGGTTTGGTATTTTTGTATTTTAGTTTTTTTCTGTTCTCAAGATTTGTTATTAAAATAACAAAAAATGGTAATCAGGCAAATGGATTTAAACTGACGCATCTTTACCAAACTTTATTTATGAAAGTTGGTTCTCGAAAATTACAGTATAATCCAACATACATATAATACTATTTGCACGTCACCATGATAACATTTTCTCATAAGTAATTTAATCTGTTTTTTACTAAATGCTTGTGACTATCTGTTTTTCTGAAGGATAGTCCAGCAGATTCTCAAAATAGTTATTATTTTTTGTTCTTCTAATTCACAGCAGTAAACGTATACCCTTGCAGATGCCAATCGTATCATATCATGTTCCATAAACATAAACTAAGATGTCTACTGGAAAGTGTCTCCTCATAATATCTATGCCAATAAATCGTTCAAGAGAGATTGATGCCGTTCTATGTTTTCTTCATCCTAAAAACGCTATTTTTATTAGTTTTCTACTAGAATTACTCTATTTTGATTTTAGTATACCTTACTGGAATAACATATCTTTCTACTATTCCGCAAATGAACAACTACCATTATGAAGGTTTTAAATTTTGAATGAATTCAAATTCTTGGCACTAGACAAAATAAATAATTTAATAAAAGTTAAAATGAATAGAAGTTTAACTCGATACATGAAAAAACAAACAATTTCTATTTTTGACATTAAACGAAAAACAATGACAGCAAAGGAGTCCTTCTACACTGATCCACGCAATCGCAAGAGAGAAAGAGAGAGAGAGAGAGAGATAGAGATAGAGAGCGATTCACTTAAAAAACTAAATAAAATTTTACAGAAAAAAAGCATTAAAAAACAAGAATTTTTTACATATTTGGTGATGTCTGTCTGTCTGCTCGATGCGAAAGAAAAATAGATAACAAGATAAAATTACATAAACTATGAATTTTTGGTTTAATGAAAGAAGCTTATATGACAAAAAAGACAACTACAATAAAAATAATGATCATTTAGTAAACATGTATCTTATTTCAATAGTGGGCAATTATTAATCTGATAGTCGATCAGACGATAGTCACTAACTTCAAAATTAGTGGATAAGAAAAGGGCTGAATCGCTGAACTAGACAAAGAAAAATGACATATGCTTTAGTCGGTAAAACGAGATAGCTTTTTTTTAATATTGAGAATATTTGGTAAATAATCACCGGGGAAAATAAACTATTGTTAGGTAAAATCAGCACATCCCATATTAATTCTCAATATAGTGAACGAACAATAAACATAGAAAAATACGAAAAACAAGCGAGCTACGGAAGATTTAACAACCCCTTATCTTCGTATAACCTATCAATAATCGCATAAATTTTATTCAACGTGTCAATAAATCGATGGAATTGATCATTTAATTCTTCTTTCTTACCTTTAAATATAATTTCGTCTAATTTTTTTCGATCTGGTAAACTAAAGAAACCAGCCCGAACAGTTAATTTCACAAAGTAATTATGATGTGCTGCTAAAGTTTTATCATATGAACGTTTTGCTATAGTTGCACTACTATCCGATACTGGATCATCCGCTAAACATTTTAAAAATAATTTAATAAAATTCATAGCACGATGTAAACGCAATAGAGTTCGTGCAGCAGATGGACCTGCAGAAGTTGTTGTTGTTAAGAGATTATTTTGTATTTCATAGTCAACTGCTTTTTGTACAGTATCATAATGTGATTTTTTACCACTATTAACATGTGCTTGTAAAACGTTTAATTTTTCTTCAACTTCATTTTTAACAAAAACAAATACAAGGCCTAATTGATCAAAAAATCTAAAACAAATAAAATCGCTCATTTTGAACTGAATTGTGTATAAGTAAAACATTTGATTTTCTTACTTTGTCAATTCTCTAAAGCCGACAATATAATCGGTTAAACCAATCTTATCATCAAATCTAAGTGCTGAAACAAATGACGTGTAAAGCCGATAAACATCAAAATCTTTTGAATTGTTCGATAATGATATAGTAGGCAAAGGTTCAATAGCATCAGTAGAACGAACTTGACCATCATTTGTTGTCGATTGAAGTCCTGTGATACTGTCACTTCGATGTTTCACACCGTCATCATCTGTATCTAGTTGATCCACTCGTCGAATTGAATCCATAAATTGACTTACGCTGTTTGTTAAACAAATATATACAAACAAACAAATAAAAAACAATGCTAATGCAAGAGAATGGCGTCTCGTGACCGCCGCTCGAATCTTTAATAAAGACAGCATGAATTAAAGTAGAAAAAAAGAGAGAAAAATGCAGCTTCTTTTACATAGTTTTATCTCATTTTATTTTCTTCTACTCGAAATAAAAAGATTTTATTTAGTAGAAATGACTAAGGGCAACAGAAGATATCGACCAACCTTTTCTCATAGTAGCATCTAAGGCCATGTCTTGTACAGACTCAACTAATGCCATGCAAGCCAATACAATCAACTTCGATCTCTTTAACAAACGGTATTAATTTTAATCTACGACAGGATACTAAAGATCATGAAGCTCTACTAAGCGGAAAAAACACGAAAATTCCTTTTAAAAAATAGAAGAATTTGAAAGAATTCATCCAGAATTAGAAAGCGAAGTAGATTCATGTACTTTGGCGCACTGTTTTATTTAGGTTTCGCTTTTCGAGTGGGCGGTTCAAATGTTGGGAGGGCCTGTTGGCTAAAAATACTTTTGCCAAAACGAAATCAGTTATTTATTTTCGGGTGGGCGCCCACACCCACCCACTAGATAAATTACTGCGTTGATCGTCACACTAGAAAAATTAACCCAGTGTTAAGAAAGATGATTGGGCGAAAAATTAACTCGGAGTTAACTCATGTTTTCGACATCATTTAACCTTAATCCCCCAATCATAAATGAGCTCAGCAACCAATAATATGTTCCCATTAGACAAGGGAGGTAACGCCAATTCTGTGGGAAAACAAACATCTGACCCTCTACTCAATCCTTCTGTTTGAGTTTAGAAAGGCAACTGTAGAACGTAAATTTAAATCGGCCGACTGCTAGCAAGCGGTAGCCTTTGAGAGTACCGAAACCAGTAAGCAGCACAATTTTAGGGGAAATGTCAAAATCTTAGTGGTATATTACAGATTTAGACGTGAACACTCTCGAAGTTAACTCAGAAAACTTTGTAGTATGAATCGGCCCTTTTTGTAGTAGTGTTAGATGGAACTAGAAAAAGAGCAGCGCATAAAATAACTCATTTATTTTTGTTTTTTTATATTTTGTCTTATCCATTATCTAGTACTTCAGACAGATTAATAATTTTATTTGTTTCAAGATTATTCAAGTAAAATATGGACACCTATTATATTCGAGAATAATTTCAGCATATAGCGTATATTGTACACTAGTGTTCTCTATCAGCAATGAGCGCGTCTAGTGAGCTAACTTTTCTAGATTTAACGCAACTATTATATGTTGCGTAAATCAAATAGTTTATGTACCATAGATGCCGAATGGATTAAGCATGAAAATATTGTGTCCATCATAGACATACATACACAACTTTGCGTAATTTTATGAATTTCATAACTGATATAAGTTTTATTCTTTCAGACTACAAGCGAAAAAATATTCCATTATAGTATTCTAAACTAAAACTGTCAAAAAACACAATTTCATAGTTCTCATGACAGTTTTCACCAGTTTCGCTGAAAATGCGGCTAATTAAACAAGCACGAATCCGTTTCTCTTTTTATTTAACTGTTTACGGTTCATCCTCATTATTCTCGATTGCTGCTAAAAGTTCTTGATTCTATATTTGATATGATATATACATTGAAACAGGTTTATTTTGACATCAACAATGAAGATTGATTATTTTGTAATATTTTGTTATGTCCAGCGTAAAAATGACAATATTTACCTTATTACGTTTGACCATTTTCGTCACTTAATTCACATTTCTTTCTACCACCTTGACTAA